CGAAAAGTGAGAATGTAGAGCTGGAACCAGTTCCCTGCTATCAGTGAGAATGTAGAGCTGGAACCAGTCCCCTGCTATCAGTGAGGATGTAGAGCTGGGACCAACCCCCTGCTAAGAGTGAGAATGTAGAGCTGGAACCTGTCCCCTGCTAAGATTGAGAATGTAGAGCTGGAACCAGTCCCCTGCTATCAGTGAGGATGTAGAGCTGGAACCAGTCCGCTGCTATCAGTGAGGATGTAGAGCTGGAACCAGCCCCCTGCTAAAAGTGAGAATGTAGAGCTGGAACCAGTCCCCTGCTAAGAGTGAGAATGTAGAGCTGGAACCAGTTCCCTGCTATCAGTGAAGATGTAGAGCTGGAATCAGTCCCCTGCTAAGAGTGAGAATGTAGAGCTGGAACCAGTTCCCTGCTATCAGTGAGAATGTAGAGCTGGGACCAGTCCCCTGCTATCAGTGAGGATGTAGAGCTGGGACCAGTCCCCTGCTATCAGTGAGGATGTAGAGCTGGGACCAGCCCCCTGCTAAGAGTGAGAATGTAGAGCTGGAACCAGTCCCCTGCTATCAGTGAGGATGTAGAGCTGGAACCAGTACGCTGCTATCAGTGAGGATGTAGAGCTGGAACCAGCCCCCTGCTAAGAGTGAGAATGTAGAGCTGGAACCAGTCCCCTGATATCAGTGAAGATGTAGAGCTGGAATCAGTCCCCTGCTGAGAGTGAGAATGTAGAGCTGGAACCAGTTCCCTGCTATCAGTGAGAATGTAGAGCTGGGACCAGTCTCCTGCTATCAGTGAGTATGTAGAGCTGAGACCAGTCCCCTGCTAAGAGTGAGAATGTAGAGCTGGAACCAGTCCCCTGCTAAGAGTTAGAATGTAGAGCTGGAACCAGTCCCCTGCTATCATGTGAGGATGTAGAGCTGGAACCAGTACGCTGCTATCAGTGAGGATGTAGAGCTGGAACCAGCCCCCTGCTAAGAGTGAGAATGTAGAGCTGGAACCAGTCCCCTGATATCGGTGAAGATGTAGAGCAGGAACCAGTCCCCTGCTAAGAGTGAGAATGTAGAGCTGGAACCAGCCCCCTGCTATCAGTGAGGATGTAGAGCTGGAACCAGTCCCCTGCTATCAGTGAGGATGTAGAGCTGGAACCAGTCCCCTTCTAAGAGTGAGAATGTAGAGCTGGAACCAGCCCCCTGCTATCAGTGAGGATGTAGAGCTGGAACCAGCCCCCTGCTACCAGTGAGGATGTAGAGCTGGAACCAGCCCCTGCTAAGAGTGAGAATGTAGAGCTGGAACCAGTCCCCTGCTAAGAGTGAGAATGTAGAGCTGGAACCAGTCCCCTGCTAAGAGTGAGAATGTAGAGCTGGAACCAGTTCAGTATATTTCCTTGAGTCTGACATAGTTTTGCAACAAACTTAAAGTATTCTTGCTGTTCCAAAGCGTTTGATGTGTGTGATGAGCGCAGTGCGTTCGTGATCAACTGGACTCGTGAGAGCGAGCGATCACGATTGTTCACACTTAATAACGTGTGACGGATGACGCGATGCATTGAGAATTGTTTTGAATCAAGAAGGCGACATTCTGACGAGTAATTGTTGACAGGGCACCCCAGAGGTTGCTGATGCAACTTAATTTAGAAACATGCATTGAGATTATTTGGACCATTTTTCTGCTATAAATGTCCAAATGATGGGCCACTTTGTTGAGCTATCATTTGTGGCTCGGTCGTTTTTGAAAAATGTGTTAATATCTCAGTGGGATATGCCCGGTAGGGTGGGGATGGTTTAGTTTTATTTGTATGTGTTTGAGTTATTTGTCTTCCTTTCTTGTACTCGCACTACTATCGTGTTTTGTATTGTTTGTTGTTGTAACGTTCTTGCCCTCCCCTACTGGACAAATGTGAGAAAGAGCTTTACAGCTCATTCTGATGCTGATAATGCACCCGTTGGGCCGTCTTCGTCCACCAGAAACGGGTACGCGTCCTTGTAGGGCCCTATTTTGTGTCAGGCCTGGGGACAAATAGCCCCAAGCCGTCACCGTCCCTCCCCCGCCCCCTTCTGGGCAGCCCCAATTTTAAGGATAATTATTGATGATTCGCGATAATTAATCTTCCACGATACCTACTATAATCACCCAGGAATGCCCTTAACGCTCGTGACGTCACTCCACATCGACCAGCCCCCCTCATTAATAATCATGAACAGGTTACGTCCTCCACATGGACCGCACCCCCCTCATTAATAATCATGAGCAGGTGACGTCACTCCACATGGAGCACCCTCTCTCTTCATTAATAATCATGAGCAGGTGACGTAACTCCACATCGAATAGCCCCCTTCATTAATAATCATAAGGTGACGTCCTCCAAATGGACACCCCCCCCCCCCCCCCACCATTCATAATAATTAGCGGCTGCCGTGACTCCACATGGGGGGCCGAGGCGCCTCCTCCCCCCTCCTCGGCGTCAACTCACAACCCTCACTACAAAGGCGGAACCCTCACGTCACGCGATCTCCGTAACGCTGTTGAGACATCGAAGTAAAAAGGACGTCATGATGAACAAGGGATTATAACCTGAAAATGAAATATATCTGTGCCACCGCGCCCTTACAAACTGCACACGAATGGATGCAATGAATATCACGTCGCGCTCTACTTTTCGCTTGCAAGTTTCAAATTTACTGCAATACACCCGTCCTTGGGCGGGCAAAAGGCGAGTTATTAATGGCAAAGATTGAAGATTGGTGCCGATGACAACAATTGTTATGCGATGGTGATGATGAGTTTGGTGATGCCTGCTTTTAGTGTGACTAGGGCAGGATGCGCGTGCCGCTTCTGAACATCGATGGGGCATCGTACAACTACGTGACAGATCCGCCGTGTGAATGACGGTGGCCTCACCACCTTCTCCAGTTGTGAAGTCCGCCAGGGTGTGCTGGGCGGACTGGTTGTTGTTGCCCTGTACGTGCTGACGGAGGCTGTCACATGTCTCTGTGGTTACGTAGGGCTGAGGTCCACTCACAATATAACATTGACACACATATTTATTTATCTTGCATATCTGGCGCTCTAACTGTATGGCAGTCAAGTGTAAAAGCATTCGCTAAATGTTTTTTTTTATCTGCCTAGCATTGCTGTGGCTTTGCCCAATGCCTTTGTTGAAGGCTCCTTGTCTCTTAAGAGATTTAGCGGCAATTCCCAGAGATTGAAACGTGATTTTATCGCAATATCCTCATCAAAAACGTCAGCTTAATTTACAAACTGCTCTTATTCGTAGAGCCGTCCCTAGGGTGGCACGGCGAATCCAGGCGACTGCCCTGGGCCCCGCACTTTGGGGGGCTCCCCTCACACTTCGACGTCGCAGTGTTGTCAGATCATTTACTTCCAGTTTAGTTTGAAGGCGTCGAGGGTCTGTCCTGGGCCCCCCACCCCCCCTGTGGACAGCCCTGCTTGCATATGGGCATTGTTGGCCAATCCTATTACCCGCTAAAATTGACTCCTGACATCCACGCAGCTATTTATGCATGAATGTGAATAATAGGAATAATATAGAACACACACCAGGATTTCATGTGGATCGATTGAGGCAGCGGATATGAGGGTAAACTGGCCAAGGATAAGTGGTGTTTGCACGCGAGGCTGGGCACGACTGGGGGGTGGCACTGGAGCAGTGTTGTGGCTCTGCCGCAAAGAAGTGCGGCGCTGCAAGTAGTTCCCGTAGCTCAGAGTTTTTCAACAATGCTGAGCAGCAGGGCCATGAACTGCAGTTAGGCATGTGCTGGGGACCCACGTGACGGTGCACGCCACGATGCTATGTGGCACCGCGATCTCATAACTTCTGGACATGTGTGAACAAAAATAATTATAACTCACCGGATTCCTCCATGGTGTAAATATTCGGATTCTGATACACGTCTGTACGCGAGCACTCATTGGTGCCTCCTGTCTCCGGGTGTGTGCCTCGCTTTCATCTCACTCGCCGTTATCTCTTGTCCACAGCTCTCCCCCCCTCTCTCTCATCCCTACCTCGTCAATCATTCTCTTTACTTGGACTCGTCTGCATCTCTCTGTCTCGGTGGAGCCACTCACAGCACCCTGCTGGAGTCAGCGTGCATGGCTCCCCCTCTGTCTTCTTTTGTATGGCTGCTGATGTAGATCAACAACTACAATTTAACATGAAAGTGGTCAAGCCAGATAACCGCATCAGCAGTGGAGTGTATTGCCCTGATGTCGCCTTCGAATTTGTTGATCGGGCATTACGTCATACGTTGTACGGCCTGTTCTGGATGACCACACTCTCGCCACACCGGAGAGTTTTTAATTTTCCATTTGTGCATCAGGTATCCGCATCTGCCATGGTTTGTGCAGTGGATGTGGTTTAGGATGGACCATGAGCTTCGTGGAAGATTAAACCCACGGATCTTCGGTGTTGGGTCTTTCACAAGGTGTTTGTTTGTGAGTTCTCGAATGATGCCCTCTGTATGAAGGAACTCTTGTGTTTGCAAGTGGGCCCCCTATATGAATGGTTCCTGCAGTGAAACTGAATGGTGCCCGCCGTGTTACAAAAATCCTCTGTATGGGAATGTATATTCGTGTTTATGTGGAAGTTCTTTCGCACCGTACGTAGCCAACCGTGCTAATCAGAGGTGTGGAATGAAACTCCCCGTGCTTATGCGATCGGTGCCGTGCTCAGCGCTCCCTGCCCCGTGTCCGCCGCCGATTTCACCCACAAACCCTGAAATGGGGGCGAGGGGGCGTTCCCCCCCAACTCCACGTGCCAAATGAGAAACAGTTTCCTTTCCAGGGCTGCGCCCTACCTCGGATGTCGCGTGTCAAGCTGCCACCGCTCGAGCCTGGGGTCGCGCTGCATCCACACGCACCGCTGTACTTCTCGGGTGCCCCGATGTGGGGGGAGGCGGCGGGGTGGGGGGGCGATAGCGCGCCACCAAACGGCGCGCGACACAAACGCTAACGAGGAGTGAGGGACGCAGGCCGCGTTTCAAAACGTTGCAGAAGTTTTAATCAAACTCGGTCTTTTTTTCCCTCCTCTCTTTTCTTTAAAGTCTCCACAAAGTGCATTTTACAATACGTTTCGTCACAACACATTGCACTGTACATAAATAATTACACTGTACAAATACAAACGCCTCACGTATTTACAGGTATCACAATATATATACCGATAATATGTCACGACGCTTACTAAAATAGTGATCCACTCTGGAGGCAGTTGTCGGGGCAGGAGGCAGGGGGAGAGAAAATGTGGCGACGGGGCCTAGAAGCAGAGGCTTTACTTGCAGACAGCCACAAGTAACCTCAAGAAAAAGGTTTTAAAAATATATATATTATAATTATTACAGTATTGTTACCATCACAGCTATGACTGTATTATATTATTTTAATTTACATTATCATTATTATTGTTAAATAGTATTATTAATAATTATTATTGTCGCCTCCGTCGCCGTCGGTATAAAGCGCTAGCGGCCTTTGCGGTATGAGGAGCAAGTCAGGCGCGGTGACGTCACAGTAGCGATGAGGGCAGTGATGGGAACGCCGGCAAAGGACACCCCCCCCCCCCACTGCCCCCCCCCCCCGCCGGACACTAAATACTGGCAACGGGCTGTCGGGAAAGCGTTCTGTGAAACAAACAAAAACCTTTCTTGATGCAACGGCAAGTACACATTAGGCAAGTCCCCAGCGCTGTTGTTGTTGTTTTTTTCGCTTTGTTTTTGTAAGTTTCTGCGAGCTGCAGCCACGCAAGTGCACCTGCGCCTTGGACCCTGGAATTTGCAATTTGGAGGAAAAACACCGGCCACACGACGGCGGTGTCATTTGGAGGCTTCGCGTGACGGGGCGCGCACGGGCGGACGGGCAGAGCGAATCCCAACGGGTTCCCCCTCCGCCCTCGCCGCGTGATGCGCCATAAGAGTTTGTGCATCGTCAGCGTCTATTGTGGCTTTGGTCCAAGCGCAGCTCCTCCGAGGTCCGAGCTGTAAATCCTCTCGGCGTGGTTTTCGTGACGCGCCCGATTCGACAGCGCAAGCGCTCGGGCAAATCCTGGATCGGGCTCGGCCACATTTGTGGCCGAGCTCCGTGTCGCGCATCCGACGGTTCCCTCAAAAGGTTCATGAAACATCCTGGGCACCACCCTCTTTCACCGGCACGGCAACGACTCGGCCCCCGACCGCCGCTCACGCTGCAGGTGACGCCAGTCCGGTTTTCCCACCGGCGCCGGGCGGCCAGCTATCTGTAGAAGAAGACCTCCAGCCAGCAGGGGCAGTCCAGCACACATTGGCGTGAGTAGTCGCGTCCCCAGCCCTTGCCGAAGCTGATGCGGATGCTGTAGATGTCTCGCGGGCGGTCGCCGGCACCGCCGTCATCAACGCGCGACAGCTTGTGTAGGTGCCGTGCATGCTCAAAGTCGAACACCTTCACCGAGTGGCCCGACGGAACGCGGCACAGCGCCTGGGCGCGCCCGCCACCCCCGCCGGGAGCTGAGCATCCTGGCGCGTCGAGCGTGGGCGAGTGCACGAAGGCCGGTTGCTCGCCACGATTGTAGGCCCAGACGCCGTCGGGCTCGCGGCTCAGCAGAAGGCCTGAGCCAACGCGGGCCCGCGTGCGCCGCACCGTCTGGCTGCCACCGTTGGTGACGGGCAGCTGTTTGAGGCAGAGGCCCCGCGTGGCGGCGGTGGAGGCGGCGGCAGTGCAGGCGGTGGCGCCATCGCCGCTTTGAGGTAGCTCGTAGAAGACAGACACGGCCTGCTCATAGGCGTGGAACAGCGGCCCCGCGCGCGTCTTGTGCTCCCAGTAGGCGAGCGTGCACCATGGCTTGCTCTTGTGCACGTCAGGGGGCAGGAATGTGCCTGTCCAGAGAGAGAGGGGGGGGGGGGCACGGAGAGAAACGAGCGCCACCGTTATTGCTGGGATGGCGACACGGTCTTCATCGTCAAGCGTGTAACAACAACGCCATTTTTTATATAATTTTGTTTCCCATTGTTTACCCTGGAACGCGTCACCGAGTCTCGTGACTCTATTTTCAGGAGGAGCCTGTCAAGTTTTTTTCAGAGTAGGTGGACGATGATCGCCGTGCAAATTCCAAATTGAGCAATTTTTTGCGGGGTGACGTTTCAAATTTGGACCGTGCGAATGTTGTCGCAGGATCCACTCCAGAGCAAACGGGCTGTAGCGTTGTTGTGGTTGTTACACCACGGTTTTAATTTAGGGGACCGCGAATTACCATCGTGGTCAGCTCACCATGCGCTATGAACCTGGTGGCTTGAGAATTCGATTGCTGATCACATCAGCGGCGAGCAATATCTTAACGGGTCCTGCCTCCACACCCCCTACCCCCAACCCCGACTTTCCAAGTGGTGAAATATAGTCAAGAAACCCCCACAACTAAGACAGTATGCATCCACAGGGCTTCACCCTCAGGAAAGCTTCGACCAGTTTTCTGTTTCCCTGCCACGCATTACAAAATAAGAACGTTCAGGGAGATCCACAGAGGCAGGTTCACAAACCCGCTCGCTATGTTGCCATCCTGGCCATCTCGCAGCGCGTTGGGAATGTGGAATTTCACACAAACATACGCTGAGCCACCAGCCATTGCCCACCAAGCGCCACCTGCACTGCTGGCTCAAGCTGCCACGTTGGTATCGAAGCTGCACCCCCCATTGTTAAGGAGTAAACCTGGATGATGTCTAGAAAGCGAGAGCACTTGCTGTGACGAATCCATCCCTGACCTGAACCCCACCACACAGTCCGGTTGTTAGCGTATTTCGTCGACACATTTCAGCACCAATTCCTCAGTCACAGGTCTGCCACCTAAGCAATGCGAGGAGGCTCTCTGATGCGGCTCGCTCCGTCCCATGGCCGATATGAATCGGGGCAGGAAGAGACCGCGCAGACTCGACTTTCCATGGCACTGGCCAGAACCATTATGTCAATTAAGGTCGTCCTGATGAATGATTAATTCCCCTCCTCCTGCATCCCCCCGCCCACCACCTAGTCAGTTGTGCAAGCGAGCGAGCCATCTCCTCTCCGTCTCCCCTCGCAAGGTCGCGAACCATCCTAACGACGTTATATGCAATTCTCGCGACTGGGTTATTTTTTTCTCCCGTCGCCAATACACGAAGCAGACGCGATGCTTCGCGGCTGACCCCCACCACCCCCCCCCCCAGTCACCCCGGCAGACCAGGAGGAGGATGCCACTCAGTGGGCATGGCTATGTGCCATTGGGGCCCACAGGACCAGAGGGACTCGGGGCACCGGGCTACGGAGATGGTGGGGGGACGGGGGGAGATTTTGAAACAGTTGGGGGGGGGGGTGGGGGGCAGGAATTTAATTCCTTGCATCAGCGCCCATGCCAATCACAAGATGCTACACATGCGTGTGAAGCCACATGCGGTGAGCGGTGCAGCGTAAAGGTTTTCACTCGTGAGGAGCGTGCGAGTGAGGAGCGAGCGAGTGAGGAGCGAGCGAGTGAGGAGCGAGCGAGTGAGCGCGCCAGCAGTCAGGATGCTGGGGTCAGACCCGACACAGTTGTGCCTGCACACACCAGGTGGGCCTTGTTTTTGTATTTGGGTGGGATTTGTTTGTTTGGCAAATGGCCCAGTGTTTGTTTGTGTTGGGGTCTTTGCACGCCGCCCTGCCCGTCTACTCAGCCTACCCTGAGGGCCATTCAGGGGCCGGTTCAGGGGCCGGCTCAGGGCCATCCGGGGCCGTCTGGTTGAGATGCCACTTGCCCCCGACTGGAGCGCAACGAAGTTTCTCATGAAGAGCGGAGGCGGTCGTCCCCACCCCCCACCACCACCCCTCAGAGTGAACTATACCATCGCCTAACCCCCCCACCCTTCATTCCAGGCATCATACATCATTAACTCACTCGACCAGACCGAACCATTTACTCCCGGCAATTTACGAGCTCGCAGGAAGGCAGGAATGGATTCTGGGAGAGAGCAGCGGTGGCTGCCATTCCGCCCGCCGCGGGCTCGTTAAACAACGCCCTTCAAGGGCCCCCGCCGACTCCCGAAGAAAAACGGCGAACGGAGAGTGCGGCCCGCATTCCGCGCGACTTGAGTAACCGCCGCACACGACGGCGGTGGCGGTGACATCGAACGCGACGATCGCTCTCTCTCGCTCGGCGACGCGGTCCTTGTTCGTGCTGCCCGGCTAAACACCTCAGCGCACGCCCCCGCGGGGGTGTAAATCCTCCGCGAGCGACTTTTGAGAGTCTGGCTCCGCGTCGGCTCTGCCCATAATAACCACCTCCAGCGGGCCCAACTCGCCCTTTAATCATCGCCGCGGTTTAAAGGGTGGGGCAGCACGAGTAGGGAGCAGCACCGGAGCTGAACAGCTCTCACCCTGCCCTCCCCGCCCCTCTCTCCGCCGCTCCCCCTCCTACCGTCGCTTTCAATCATCTCTCTCTCTCCCCGCTCGGCTCGGAAGCCACGGTGCTCAGGGCCTCACTGCCGCCTTTGTGAGGACGCTCGCTGTGGTGGCCACTTGGGTTCGAGTACCGGCTCCGGGGCCTCGTTCTATCGCTCGAGTGGCAGGCGGCGTCGCCAAGCTGTGCGCCCTCCGTCTCACCCGCCCACCGGGCCTCTCATCAACCCACCCACTCTCTCATCCACCCACCCACTCATCCAGCCATCTACCCTCTCATCCACCCACCCTCCCTCTTCATCCAACCACCCTCTCATCAACCCACCCACCCACCCCCCTGCCGCCTTCGTGTCTGCACTCAGAGGGCTGTGTTGAGGGTGGGGGGTGGGGTGGGGCGGTGGCGACAAGCAGAGGGAGGGGAGGCGAGGGCCCTGAAACTGGTGGGGGCTGGGAGGGTAAAGTAGGATGAGAAGGAGAGGAGGGGGAATCCTGAAGCTTTTCAGAGCCATGCCATGCCCTGCGCACACGCAGCGCAACATCGCGTACATCTGCAGCCGCTATCCACTGCTGGATGAGTATCCCCTTTGCCGTGTGGATCATGAGATGGGAGGATTTGAGATGGATGGTAGCAGCACTTGACAGTGAGGGATGATGGCAGCATGGTGGGGGATCGAAAAGGTCTTCATCCAGCAGTGGATAGACAATAGCTGCTGCTGACGATAAAGATCGTGACAAAAAATGCTAAAGCTCGCGTGGGGACCGTGAAAAAGTGGAGGTGCAACCCTGCAGTTGCTCGTTCACGGCATCGCTGGCAGAAGGGCCTCTGACCCAATGGGGCTCTCGAGAAACCTTCTGGGGCGGGCCGTGGCCCCAAACCTGCGGCCCACAATGCCACGCCGAGCGTTCCGCGGAACCGCTGCAGGTTCCACGACTCCACTGTCGCAGAACGCCAGACGACTTGCTGCACGCATGGTGGGCCCGCGACAAACGTTCCAGTTTGACGGTCATCCACGCGGGAGCCTCTGACTCCGAGGGTATTTGGCCTACTCCTCCACGCTGGCCAAGAAGCCTCAGCAAGAGGTGGAAATGGCCGCACTTTATCCCACCGCACGTTAGTGACCTAGCGATCGACTGAGCATGGTGTAACGATTTATACCGCTGGGGTGACGGAGGGGGGTGGCTGGGGATTTAGGAAACTTGCCCCCCGCCCCGCCATTGTTTCAACTGCCGCGCCGGGAGATGGAATTGAACCGGCGATCTCACATGGCGACGCTCACGACGACGCTCACGAAGACGCCGGTGCTGCAGGCTACGCGCCGGGCACTGCATCTTTAATAAAGGTCAGGCTGAGGCCCTGAGGCGCGGAGAACACTTAATGGCAGCTCCTGGGGACATTTACATAATAGAGTACAGTCTAATAACTCTCAGCAAGCCTCCCCTGCCTGCCCGTGTGCCTGCCTGCCTGCTATTAGGTCGACAAAAATGTTCCGAGAAGCATTCCATATTTTTGTTGCTGTTGTTGCCGTTGCTGGAAGTAGCTGTGGCGGTAATGGCCCCCGTAATCGCCTCTTAAGTGGCCGTCTGCAAACGGGGCACGTGGGGAGAGGCAGCCCCCAGTTTACTCGCTGCACCCCCACCGCCCCCCCTCAAAATTACCACCATAATTACCACAACATCACCACTATTATTATAATTATCATCATGATCGTGATTATCACCCTCATCAGTCCTGGGTCAGCTTGTGCCAACATCTAAGCTCAACTAAACTGATTTTACCAGGTGAGGCCCACTGAGCTACATGGCTCTTTGAGAGGCGACCTGGCCACAAATGATAGCTCAACGAAGTGGCTTATCACGTGTAAATTTATAGCAGTAGCTAAACTACTTGAAACGCGTGATGATGAGTCTTTATGTGGAGGGAAAAACCGGAGGACCCGAAAATCCACACGACCACGTGTGGAGAACATCCAAATATACAGGCATCAGGGTCGGGATCGAACCCATAACCTCCTTCTACCGGGCGAGGGAGTTAACATCTCGCCACATCTCCCTGTCACTCTCCCATCACGATGCGCTCTCTTTTCCGAGGCTACCTCGACGCCGTCTTTCAGAATCACCGTTACGCTGCCTCCTCGCTCTTTCTCTCTAACCATCCCCCACCAACTCAAAAGTCCATCGCAACAACTCTGAGGGGTCGCCTCGGCAAATGGACGACTCCGGCGTTCAGCCTCAACGTGGCTTGGAATGTCCACCGAGACGAAATGCCCACGCTCCCACCCAACACCAAATGCCAGTACGGTCCAAATTTACACTAAAAAACAAAACTGCATTTTTAACACCAACAATGAGAGAAACGTCCCGACACCCTAGATAGTCACCCTTTGGCCAAATCAGAGGAGAAAGAAACTGCACCGTTCACAGTTGCCCCACGGTCAATCACCCCCTCTTTCTTCGCTGCATTAAAGGGCTCATTGCCTGA